CTACTTTTCAAAATGAACGCAGAAGTTTGTATCATATGTCTGTTGTAGCTTATGAATAATGGGGAAAAAAACAAAGAAAGGAAATTCTTAGTTTTTGTTGTATGATGTAAGCGCCCGTCAAATGTAACAAAATTTGGAGTTAGCGAGAAAACGATTTTTAATTTTTTTTTTTTTCTTTTACTGGGAAACAAAAGCTCTTTATTAAGTCGACATGACGAAAAAGCAAGCAGCAGATATCAAATGTTATAATAATTTTTTTTTTTTCTTACTCCATTTATATATTGATATGGCTGCTTCTAGGTTTATTCCGTGAAGTCTTCAATTTAAATTTTTTAATTAGAGTCTCAAATTTTTCCCCACCCCTTGTTTCGTAACATATCAAATTTCAAAATATGGTTAAAAGTAGTTCCTATAAGCCGAGTTTGAATTTGTATTTTGTACTTGTTTGAAAGGTATTTTCATTTAGGTTCATGCTAGACAGATTAGGTCTTCAAATCCAACTCTATCTTAATTCTTAATATTTAGCAGAGCTCTGTTAAGGCCTTTACAGGGTTCCGTTAAGGGATTTGGTAGTTGCCCTTTACTAGTTCAATTTGCCTTTATCTTCATGGCTGCCTGGATGAACTTAATGCGATTAAGTTAAATAAAATATTTCCGTTCTTTGCAAATATTTTCGGGCACTTTTTTGCACTACCTTGTTGTTAACGTCAGCATATCGTCTTTACCGTATAAATGTGAAGTCACGGTTTTTTTTAAATGATTTTTAAAGACTCTATCATAATAAAAGTTCAGGTTTAGGTTTAGGTTTCTAGGATAAGTGCTTGCTTGCATTATGCACATCTCGCGAAGACTCTGTAAATAGTCTTGATAGGTTTGTGGTCGATTTGAGCATGTTAGTTCACCTCTCCATCTGCGGTAATCTTGATTGAGTCCTCAAGCTTCCATTTACATGGGCCAAGTCGCCCGTTTACGTTGATATTATTTTACTCTACACCATTTAATTTTATCTTATTTATAGTCATTCAAGTTTCTTTCCCTCTCTTTTCCTCTCCTCCTCTCATCAGCTTTTTCTTTTGCGACTTTCATTTTTCCCATTTCATGTCACATTGTTTATTGAAGTCATTTCAAGTTGGTCGGATTTGAAAGTGGTCGACTATTATCATAAACATAATGTTCTTTATCTCACGCATCAATTCAGTTCAGTTTTTCTTTTTAATAGCTTAAGTTGTAACCAGCCAATGGGATATGTTTTACGTTATTTGTCAATTGTATTCGAAAGAATGATGATCTCAGTGCAATTTGGTTATGTCCTTAATCATGTTTATTCCATTGAGTTTTGGTTAATTTAAACGCTTTATTTACGCATGTTTTCTTCGCACGAGTTTTATTATCCTTTCCTTTTTCTTTTTGCCTCTTTTTGTCTCTTCGCATAAGATAAATAAAATCAAAGTGAGAAAGCGGATATCTACATAGATTTTTTGCATTCATTTAAGTTTAATAGCCCGAAAAATTGATTGTTGTCAAAGGCATACCTCATGGCTGACATAAAAGTTAGCTCAAGTACCGATTGATAGTGTGTGTTTGTAACAAATAAACAAATCAAATTCCCTGCGTATAAACAACATTAACAGCACTGTTGGGCTATCGAAAACGTTATAACGCCTTTTGAAAGCAAATCAGAGCAATTATGCAGTTGTATTGGAGCAAAGCTCTTGATCCGATACTAGCTTTAATGCTATTGCTTTTTTTTCAATCATTAAGATGATGGCTTAAAATTTTTATGAAACAAGTGCGAAAATGACAGTCGTCTTCAAACGAGTCGTAGGTACGTGCGATTCCCATACAAACGGAAAACATTACAATAAAGTCGGGCAATGTTTACTTTAAAAAAAGTGCATCACTTTGCCGAAGAGCTTATGTCGATTTTTTTTTTTTTTTTTTTTTGGTATGTCTGTCTGTCTGTAAAAGGTATTCTGTAAATGTAATACGTAAGCGTATAGTGTTTGTAAGCATGAGAGTTGTGCCTGCATTAGGACTAACATTTACTAGGAGTTCTGAATTACAAGTTTTTACTTAATGTAGACTTGGTTGCTGGATCAATTACGTCATCTTCAGATATGACTTGTGGCAATCAACTACGAGTGTGTACGCCAAATTTTATGATTCTACAAACTTTGATAAACAAGACAGACAGGCAAGCAGACATGATTCGCACTATAATCTTCTACATATATATATAAATATATATGTATGTATATATATTTTTTTTTAAACCAATCATTCCCAATCACTCCGGAAATGTCCTCTATGCATGTAATGCGATGATGGTCAGAAAGAAATTTGCTAAGAGAGAGAGAGAGAGATAGATAGGGATGCCTAATTGGTAAAAGTTATACTCTTACCGACTAACCACTTACCATCACTATAACTACGGCCAAAGTAACTGCCACTCTTTTTCGTGGTGTCATAAATGGAGAGATAAATTCATGGTTTCACATCGTTTGACATTAAATCCTGAAATCGATTATCTTTATATATAATTAAAATATCTTTGCATATATTTGAATGTGCTTAAAAAAAAAAGATAAAGTTCATCATCATCGTGATAGCTATGTAACAAGTAACATAAGCTTAAGCGTCTTATAGCCGAACACGTACTAGGCTATGATGGAGGCAAAGCCTGAGTTAAACACAAACATGAGACCACATATTTTATAAGCAACGCATCCGTCATACCCTATCTGAGTATTTACGGATGAACAAAAAAATTCCCGAAAGATATATTTAATAACATAGACAGCGGAAGAATTCTTCCGTATCAAGACCCAGATTCACATCAATTATAAATGAACCTACGGATCGATTTCTTCAAGTTTTCAAGTTCTTCCGCCAACCGAAAAATAAAAAGCTTCAAGATTAACTTTTTGTTTTCCTACCTTTTTCTTCGATTAACTTCGTCTTTGATTAGCTTTAGCTAAATGTTGCCGGCTCTAAGCCTAATCTTAATTTATGAAGTTGCTTAAGAACAAAAAAGTTCATCCGATTCATCAGTAAAGAAAATAGGATACGTGAGCGAGCGCCATAACTTTTCTGGCAACACACTAACGCACAATTTTTAGCAAAAGAAATTGAAATTCGTATAAACCGAAGAGAACACAATCTAGACTTTTACAAGGCTATTAAGTGCGAGTATTGTTATATTTGTTATAGTAAGCATGTTTTTTTCTTTTATACACACCCATACAAACTGTCAATAATCTTTATTGAATGTGAAAAGAGCGATATTTTATCGTTTTTACAGCTTCCTTATCGTCATAGTCGTCATCCGGTTTAATCGGTTGAAAAGTATTCAATGTTTTTTTTTTTTTGAAATGTTCTTACTTTGAACCTGTTGTTGCTGCTTAACGCATAAATTTAAAAAAAAGTTCAGCTAACGTAAAAAATTTATGTAAATTTTTGAAAGCCTTTTCACATAAACTTATAAGATAAGGCTTAAATTAACTTCTTTTATACTTGATAAGTTTGTGAGACTTTTCCTTGAACATTAAAAAAAGATGATAGGAATTTTTCCAAATCCTTCCCATCATTTTTAAACCCATCAGCGGAGGATGGACGTATATTCGTGTTATCAAAACGTTCTCAATGACCAGAAGGAGACTTGGGAGACTCCACCAGGTCTATATATTTGCGATTAGCATCAAATTCTGAATCGATTTAAGCAGGTCCGTTAATCCTGGGTAATGTCGATTGTAATCCTTTTTCTGGCTGAAAAATTGAAGCTGTTGATTTCAAATCCGTGGGAACATTGGGAATTTGTGTACGAAAGTTGAAATGAATTGAAAATAACCCAAATCGGTCGAAGGACACGCCCATATTAAACTAAACACACCTCCGTTTTTCAAATGGAATCAAAATTAGGTTTTTTGCTCATTACTTATAAACTGCAGCAGATAAATGTACAAAAATTTGAAATGGATCTTGATGTAGTACCTGTATTGGCCACGCCTACACACTCTAACACTGAATCAAAAGTTAATTTTCTCTAAAACCCTTATAACACGCAGGAGCAAACTTCATGATGTGCATAAATTTCACAAAGTGCATAGATTCTTGGACATCTTAAAATCAAGAATGTCCATTCGTTAGTCTGTCCATCTGTCCGTTTGCCAAAATGTCCAGTAAGAGTGTTACGCTTCCTTCCGTTCTGAAATGTGAGAATATCGCCTATAAGCACACAAGAGAATTTGAAAATGAGGCAAATTGGTCAAAAGGCACGCTTGCAACGCCTTTGCTTTCTGCTTTTCTGAAAAGAAGAGAAAATCAACTGCGCTCACCCAACCTTGTAGAATATGAAAATTTTGTTCTTTTTCTTTTCTTTTAGTCTCTTCGAGGATAACGGTTATGGGTATAAAAATTTCGGTCACGAGCGAATATAATTTTCTTCCGTTTTTTTCTTTTTTTTTTTCAAATAAAATCTTTCAATTTCTACAGGAACTTGTGGTAAGATCTAACCTAAACTTTTTTTTAAAAAAATATTTTGCTTTTTATCTATGTGTAGAGCAGATCTGCCATAAATTCTTTTCTATCTGAGGCATCAGTATTCTATGGAGAAAATTGCGCTTCATTCCGCCTATAAAGGACTCTGTCGTCTTTCTTATTCGAAATACCCAGTGCCTGCGGAAGTTTTTTGATTTTCTCTTAAACCATAAACAAAAATTCTTTCGCTGTTTTCGTATGCCTTCTAATTGCGTTACCTAACGCTATACCTAATATTTCTGAACAAACTTTACAACAACAATTGAAATGATTTTGATAAAATTTTTATAAAATCAGTTATTTAATAATTTCTTGTAATGATATCCTCGCCTTTATAGAAGCTAGACGCGTCAATGAACAAACTTTCCGATCAGCATCCTTCATGTCCCTTTAAACGTGCGATATACACTGATTGAAAATACAAAATTCATTTTCTTCTTCCTTTGTCTCTTTTTTTTTTTGGGGTTTTTTCTTTTTACTACACATTTCAAGCGTTTATTATATGATTGTTTTCTTTCATTTGTGCACAAAAATAATTATATTATTTAAATTATATTGTTTTTCTTCTATTATTTACATTGGATTTCGTTTAAGCATTATCTTCCGTTTCCACAACTTCTTCAAAACTAATTTGTTTAGTTGCTTTCAACTGCTGCGAGTTAATGCTGTTATGCTGCGATAGTGATGCTGCTGGTAGCGGCGACGATAAGCGATTTTTGCGAAGAGCACATAATTTAAAAGGGGGTAAACCGGCTGCGAGGATTGTAGCTGCTGGACAATCATCCTTGTTTGTATTTAGCATAGTCGCCATTTCAGAATCTGCACCAAAAGGCGGTTGCACGTTTAGTTGTTTGCGTGAACGTGTGTCGCCATCTTCGCTGGCGCAACGGTTCGAGCTGCGCGACAAAATGCTCGAAGATGTATTTTGTTGGGTTGTAGTCGTGCCGGTATTTGAGCTGGTGTTTGCCGTTGCGGTAGTGTTGGTGTTCGAACGTTTTCTTCTTGCTCTCTGATCGCACGATATTAACGTGAATACACAATTCCATACGGTGTGAATCAATTTATAGAAACCTTTACGAAATTTCGTCGACATTAAATTATAAAGTATAGGATTAATCGCTGAATTTAGATAAATCATAATGCGACAAAAATACAAAAGCTTATAATAACTTTCGATTCCTATAGCGTATAAGCTTTGTTCCGAGTCCAAGATAATCCATAGGGTAAGCAGTCGAAATGGCAGCAGGCATAAGAAGAATGATAATACTACTGCTCCCAACATTAAAACGACTTGATTACGCGCCTTTAAACTCAATTCCGGTTTTGTGGGTCGTAAACGCATCATTAAGCCTTTATTCGAGATAAGTCGTTTAGCTATAATCCCATATAAGGCGATTAAAATAATTAAGGGCAAGACGAAGAAGAGCGAAATAGTCATTATGAAGAACGCCACCGCCCAACTGGTTATAGCTTGAGTAACGCAAATAGCTACCACTGTTCCATCGACGTAGTCCACATATTTGTACTCGGCCACCCAGACGATGGGACTAAAAAAAATAATTCAAATTCAAATGGAAGAAAAGTTAACAAAGACGAGGCGAATAATTAAACAAAATATGTTCAGGTGCACTTAACAGAAAACGGTAAATGGATGACGACAAAAGAGTAAATTAAAAAAACTTAATCTCAGATATGCTCAAAGACAGAAAAGAAAGCAAAAATAAAAGCGCACACATACACAATGCACCTATAAAATAGAATTATTCGCTCACTTAGCTTGAGGCATACATACACACACACACATTTTTTTAAATCATTTACATCAATCCTTGCTGTTGCACTTGTTAGACTTGCCAGGGATCCTATTTAATAATAATGTTATGTGCAATCAAAATGTCGAAAGATTTTCCCTGATATCTGCGCCCAATTTCACGACTCTATATGAAGTAATTAACGAGAAACGCTTGTTTGCTGGATATAGAAACAAATTTTCACCTATCTTTGCAGGAAATGGCATTAGTTTGTCTATAAGCATTTACCGACTGTGAGAGTAAAAGCTATCCCGACGAGACGTACACGTGACGGCTTCTGCAAGCTTCAAATGTGCTTAAGGTGACCTCTCCACCGAAGCAAAAAAACGTTCCCCTTTACGAGGGAAGATCATGTGAATGGTGACGAAATCGAAAAAACTCATGGTCTAGTGTAGGTTGATCATTAACATTAACGATAGAGAGGCATATACAAAATACACCACATCCAACGAGTGTCCCCGAAAGGGGCGCCATTGCCATATCTTAGATGTAACTGGTTTTCTCGGTAGTTAATTGGACTTTGAATATTGTATTGCATCCGCTGTTCATCACCATTGATCCATCATTCGGTTAAGAAGAACGCTTCTCACAAACGACAAAGAAGTCGATCTTCGGAAAAACTAGAGATTGATTTCAGTTTCTTATAATACTCTGCGTACTCTGGTAGCTGGGCTTTCTTTCTTTCTTTGAAAAATAACCAGAAATTATTCAACATTCTGATATATTCTGAAACAGTGGAAGCATCGGATTCGTTTGTAATTGGAAGCTTCAACGAGATAATAACTGAATAAGAAAAATGAAAATTGTTTTGAAGAATGTTTGAATCGCTGGTGAATCTCAGAGCCCTTGAACGGTTATTACTTAAAATAATTTCGAAATTATTGTTAACTTGAAATATTTTCAGAATTGAAGAAAGATTCGTCAAGTATTTTGTTATTATTAATCTGAAGGCTCAGAAGACGATTTGTCAAGGTCCTGATACTTTAACCTAATACGTGTCGAATTTCGTATTGTTTTCTTTCAAGCTTCAACCAGTTTTCTTTGTATATAAACAAACAAAACAACAAAATGTTTTATGTATGTATGTATGTATGTTTGTAACGTGTAAATTACCGGAGTTTCGTTTATGATTTTTTTTATTTTTCAAGTTTGCACGCTATCTAGACATGTCTAAGCGTAGCGAGCACGTTTCATAAGCATTTTAAACGACCCCCAGGGGCAAAATCAAATGTGGTTTACTTTTAATGCCGCAAATATTAAAATTTCAACACAAAACACTCGACAAACATCTAAGCAATGATTGTGATTTTTATCTGGACCCATAAGCAGCTATAAAGATCTTTTTTAGTTTTTTTCTCCTCTGTATTTCACTTTTGTTTTTTATTTACATGTCTCTGGTTTGTTTTCGTTCTACACATACAGGAATTTGATTAGCATATAAATGAGTTTTATTCCAAAATATAGGCAAAAGGGGGCAAAAAAAGTTAAGAATTTTTATATATATACAAAAAATGTATGCAAATAAACAAACAACAAATAAATATTATTGGCGAATATAAGAGCCTTGTCAAAATAGTTATGTCCATCTCCCATAATGTTAAGGTATATTCGGTTTAGTTTGCGAAACATATTTTTCAGGTAAATTAATCAAGTAGTCAGTCAGGCTTTTATATCCATTACTAATATTCGGCCTTATCCTTAGGGTCGACGCGAAAAAAGCATTAAAAGCTTCGAAAAATGTCTTTTAGTCAATGTAGATTCAAAGCCATCTTGTCGCTTCATCTATACGTTTGTGTGCTTGTTAGACTCTCTGTCTGTTTGTATATTTGTCCGCCTGTATGCCGATCCACATATATATATTTCTGGATGATTGTCTATATGTCCGTCTCTATATGTCTGTGTGTGTATATGTCTGTTCTCTTTTATGCCCATCTGTTTGTCGGTCGGTGTACTTGAATTTGCGTCCGTCCGTATGTCTATCTGCCTACGAATTCGTATGTTTGTTTGCTTAAAAGCCTGTACGCTTGTATGTTTGTCTGCTGGTATGTCGGTCTCCTGGTTTGCGTGCCAGTCTCTACGCATACCTTGTCCGCAACAGGAGCACTGTTCGAACAAACCGAAATAATCTATAGGAATCTATAGGTCAGGTCTTTTGTATTTGCGGACAACTATGGAAGCTTGCTTAGTTGCGGTGAGTGTTGATATTTGTGTCAGATCATAAGAAAATCGATTGCAGGAATGTTCTTACTAGAGTTACTCTCGTACCACAGAAGTCATTGACCCTATGCACCGGATTGACACACTGACTGCGATTTTTAGCGGAGTTCGCAAGGTCGGGTAAAGTTTTAATACTGCGTTGTATTTGACCCAACTAAGCGGACAGATTTTCAAAAGGACTTGTCTTGATCACAAGGAATAACTCCACATAACGTCTTTTTCATGTTGTGTTACTAAGTACAACAACGTCTCCCTGTATCCGTCTTTCCGACTTTATAATTATTTGCGGGCAGCTAAGAAACACTATCGTCAAGACATTCTACGGTGAATTCGTTCATTTCGGTCGCTTCATCTCCCTTATAACCGTTTCAAAGTTATCACAGTAACTATACGGAACGCGTAGGTCCGACATGTTGCCCGTTTTCTAGATTTACTTTTCATTGTTGTCTTTGTCTTAAAACGCGGAGATGAGATTTAACAAATAAGTAAAGCTTTCCCATGAAACCATGCAAAGTGAATTTTAAAAATTTTTACCGTGAAGACCATCACCGCCATTATGAATAAAGCAAATAAATTAAAAACATAGGCGAAACTATTTGTCATGCAACGTAATGCTGAAGCATTATAAGAATTGATAGCATACCTGGTAAAAGAACCGGCTACAGCCCAAGCTAAAGCGCAAATAATTATTGCTCTAGTCTTAGTGCAGACGTAGCCGGCCTTTAGAGGTTCACAAATTGCGTAATATCTTTCGAAGGAAATGGCCAGTATTGTCAAGACACTGGCATGTGCAACAGTTAGTTCTATAAAAGGTACAGCTTTACCTAGAAAAAGTAAACAAAATAAATGGAAATATCGCTGGCATATACATATATATAAGCTGGAAGTAGTTAAATTAAGGTTGCGTAGCTTTATCCAAAAGTTATTTAGGATCAAAAAAGACAGAGGACAGGACGTACTTAACAAAAATAATCGAGTTTCTCGATAAGTTATGCACGATAATAATTTATCCATCAACCGAGCCTCAAAATCGAGCCTCAAAAGAAAAAAATTCTGGAATGAAAAATAGGACGAGCACTAGCCATTAGGGCTTGCAAGCCTAAATGAAATCGGAACAATTCTCTAGTCCCGGAAATGTTGCAAACATTATGTTAGTGTTATTGGGTTCTATTTTGCATCTACTGTAGGTGTATTTGTAGATCGACCAAACCCCTTTTCAAGCTCCAGTTGAGCCTATAAGTTGAGTAGTCAATCTAAGCAATTTAAAGTATTTTGGTTTTAATTTAAATTTTTTTTGTCCAATTCCTCTGGTCGTAGCTGACTATCATATCATTATGCAAGATCTATGTCATCTTTGTTTAGTATTTTTGGATGTAAGAATTTGGAAATGAATGAATAATAGTACGTACAATGTCACTACTTACACATTTCCGGGCCTAATGCCCAGGTTTCCGGTTTTGTATTTAATTCAACTAATACTGTTGGCGTACAAACTAATAATACAAGCAAATCGGCTATACTAAGATTGGTTAGGAATATATTCGTAGAATTTCGCATATCCTTCGTCCTGATAATGACAACGGGAACCTATAAATAGTGAAAGAATTTATGAAAATTAGAACAAACGCAAGTCAGAAAGAAATCTCTCAAACTGTAAACAAAAGAACTAACTTAGTAAATACTTATCCTTGCTTGGTGGATATAAAAATTAAGGAATACAGACCATCGACATCCATACATTTCAAGAAATTGCAAATACATTTTTTTGAATTTGGAAAACGTGAAAGAAACGGTCGAATTAGTAGAACTCTTTCCTTTTCTTGTGAACACAGAAATAAAAGAGAAAATTGTTTTTCCTAATTTGAAGCGCTTTCGTCTTATTTTTGGATTTTCTCTGATGAGGCTGGCGAATTTGTTTAATTGTTACTTTGTATTTTGCTTTCCAGTTAAAAGTTATGGAAGAAAAATTTCAAAAACATTACTTTTGCTTAACAGACATTCGAAGAGACGGGTGGACATATAGACAACAAACAAAACAAAATGTACATAGGGACAGACAAAAAAATGGATAGGCAATTGGAAGGTGTGATAAACAGCCGCGATGGCGAATTCAATAACCACAGCAGCGAGGGGGAAAGGCCACGGAGAGGTGCACATACAGAGACGGAGAGGTGCACATACAGAAAGACAAAGAGTTCGACAATGGAAGGAGTAAATTAAAATTAAAAAAAAAAAAAAAAATTTGATTACAAACTTTCGCTTATTCTGAATTCTTCTGTCGTCTGAAATTTTTTAGATAATTTTGACAGCTAAGTGTTACAAAACGAGTGAGAGATTAACTATACACGCATCCTTTGGTGATGATAATTACAACTTATCAACAGACGGAGACGGGGAGCATTAGCAGTAGGCCTGCATTGTTTAAAGTGATAGTTACGTAAAAACATAGAAAATCCATTTAATAATATCAAGAAGTAAACATACACATACGCATAAATATGTATATACGTATGTATACGTACTTACCATAACATTCCCGATGACACCCAGCAACAGTATGATTATGCAAAAGCTCATGGCAGTATTACGTATATAGGGGGGAATTTGTGGTATATCGTGTGTCTGGTGTACTACTCGAGAAATGGATAAATTCAAGGCCGTATTATTTGTCGTCGATAAGGTAGTCGTGGCAAGAGTAAAGGTAGTGGTAATAACTTTATTAGCAAATAAAGACGTCGAAGTGATTTCATTGTTATATGGTTTATGTTCAATTGAATATGTATCGTTGTCCAAGGTGTTATGGAATGAAATGAGATAAGGGCTGTTCTTGTTCGTATTTAATGTTGCGTTGACCTCACCATTGTTAGCGGTTACCGTTGATGGTTTGTTAGCAATAACAATGGCATGGTTAGCATTAGCCAGTGTGAGCTCGGTGTCAAACAGCCAGTATAGACTAAAAACAACATACAATATGTATAATACGGTGAGTGAAATAGTACGGAATCTAGAGTAGTTCCCTGAAGATCTGTCATGTTTGTGTTTTTGTTTTTGTTTTAAGCGTTCACTTAAAACTTGAACAAACGCACACGTACACAATGTCGCTTTAAATGCTACGGCAATATTGTTTTTTGTTTTATATGATAAATTGAAGAGTTCCTTAAGCACGTTCTCCTTTATTGGCCACTACTATGGCCACTTCATCATTTAATCACGTATACCGTTAAATAGATATCCTGCAGTGTTAGAATTATCTGCAAGCGTCCACTTGTTGTATATATCTTTCTTGTTCGTCTCGTTGTTCTTGCTGTTGTTGTTGTTATTGTTGTTTTTTTTTTTTCATACGTTTTCCACTAATCAGTTGTTAATTGCATTGCAGAGAGTCTGTATGGTTGCCCGAGGATATCCTTTTAAGATTTAATTGATGAGATTAGCATTGCATTCATTTAAATGCTCAACCAGCAGCAGCATCAGCAGCAGGTCAATTAATAGTTTCCCACTGCTGCATATGTTTTCTCGGATCGATATTAGGATTCAAGTGAATTTATCTTTTGATGGGAAGATAAACAAAAATAAAAAATGCGTATAGTCAGACAATTTGTGCGACTAAATGATTGTGAAACTCATCAACGTTACGTTCGCTTTAAGGGTTTTTTTTGTTTTTTTTGAGTGACACATAGACACGGTTGCAATCAAATGCGTATTTCTAGCGAAATTTTCATAGTTTTCTTCAGTCTAGTTATGCTTTCTTAGACATTTCAGTGATTTCATGGCATTAGAAGATCCCAGAAGAGAGCCACTTGCCTCGATTTGAATTAATTGGCCGTAGGGATTACTTTTGGTTTTTGGAAAAAATTTGACAATACTGTGCCGATAATACTGAGTACAAAAAGTGAAACGAATATTCAAATTGAATTAAATCAGAATTTTTTTTTTCAAATTAGTAGCATTGTGACAGATCTATTTTTCAAATTTCTTCCAATTTTTACAATGTGTGTATGCGAGGAGATAATTTCTGACTATCAGCTTGCCATGAAGAAGATAAGATAAAAAAGAAATTGGTCTTACTTTTTGTGCACAGCAGTATGCTTCTCCCTTCAAAATCCCCATACAATTCCCAACGATTTATTCTGTTATCTCACATATAATAATTCACCATTCTACTGGCATAACGGTTTGGATGAAACTAAATAAAATATATTTTTGAAAATTTTTCGATCTCCCTGAAACATATTTCATCGAAAATTATTTATAAAAAGACTTAGTCAACAAGTTCTTATGAATATCGGTATTTGCAATTTTCGCTTTTCTTTTCTTTTTGTGCCCCCAATCAAGATGGGCGTAAACTTGTAGATTTGTTCTTTCTTTGAAAACATATTGATTCACATACTACAGATGCAATAAAGTAGATATATATATATATATATATATATAATAAGTAGATATATATAAGTATATATATAATATATTGTATATATATATATAATATACTATATATTATATAATAGCGTAGCAGTAATGATCTGAATCTGCACAATGAAATATTGTGGATAGGTTTCTTGACAAGAGCTCAGAGACGAGAAAAGTCTTCTTTCAGGGTTACTGTCCTACGTAATATATCTGTCCGTTCACATGTCTGTCTACCTGCCCGCCTATCTGCCGACTATTGGTTGCAATGATTGCAACAGAAAACTGAAATCCTGCTATAGCTGGGTTAGGTGAGATAAACGCCCACCTACAGGAACGCCTATAAAATAGACAGAAAAGCTTTAAATTATTATTTGTACCAGCTTAGAATATTACAAAAATATTAACCAAGATCTCATAAAATTGATTTGGGGAAAAATATCGAGATGGAAGTAAAAAAAATCCTCCCGTAAGATGACAAGGGCTCCTCCATTACATGGTTAAATAAGCTTCTGTTTTAATTAGATAAATAAAGTGATAACAAAATAATACTCTCAATATATTACCCAATTTACAACAATTATATTTTAGACAAGGTAAGGCGCCAGTGTTACATATCATAGAATGTTTGGCAATTACTTCGCGGAGGTGTACGTTCCACCGTTTGTTTTTTACGTACGGCTTAGCTGCCTCTACGAACATTTTTTACACTAAACTGTGGATGCGGGGTATTTAGTTATGGTTTAACGCTCGGAAAAATACATAGTAGCCTAGTGTTCATTTAACTGCTAACCTATATATTTGCAGAAGCATTTCGCTTTACTATGAGCGTCTTCATTCAGATACGTCCCCAAGAAACCAGAAAAGGCTCACAAAAAGTGATCAGAACTTATTAGAGGAAAAGTTTGAAATTTACTTTTGAAGCTCACAACCACTATTACTGAATTTGGTCTGTTGTTGGACGAGCACATTTCTTCTAAAGGCCTTTCAATTAATGAACAAATAGTTGTTGTTAAGGATTGTTTTTATTACTTTTATACAATCCTTCTGTTTTTGTTTTCTCGGTCTATTTCTTTTATGTTGAAATGAAAAGTGTAATTGAATTGGCCTAATAAAATTACTTCTTCTTAACCTTTTTTGCTTTTCTTTGACTACTCGGAAAGCAACATAGTCTTTGTGTGTTTGTTTCTTTGTCTCATCTTTTACGTTCTTTTTCAATTTCCTTTTTAGTTAAGGCATACAGCAAATTGCATACTGCATTAACTTTAAAACGAATCTTTTATACCTTCTATATCTTCGGTCCAGCTTCACAAACTAAAGACATTTTCATTAGATTTGACCATTAACAGGTATTGTTGTCTCTGTTTGATTTTTAATATTCATCTTTTTATTATCTTGTAAAGTCTTGAGCCTATAGTGATGATAAGAAAAGATAAAATCGAGGTGATCTGCAAAAGCAAGCCCCCTCTAAGCCAAAGATCTGGAAGGAGAATTTCAGTTTTTTGTCTACGAAAATAAAAGATGTTCGTAAACCTTTCAATGCCTTAATAAAGGAAAGTGTTGCATACCTTGTGGAGTTTTTCTCTAGGTGTAGCAAATAAACCTGATAAATTTTGTTTACCACTCACCTTTGAATGCGAACTTGGAGAGGAAAGCGAATTGAATTGTGTCTGAAAGCATTCATAGGGTATGGAGAAGAGAGAAATCTTAAAAATTCTGTTCATGTTAGTCGGCTTGTGTCTTAAAATTTATGGGCAAAAGTGTAATAAAATTAACATTGAAATGTGACAATTTTCTAGATCGGCCTAGTAAATGCTAACACAAACAAAAACACAAACGTTTTTTTTTTTTTTTTCTTTATACTATAGGCAAATGTCTTAATAGTAACATAAGGTCTCAAGTGTACCTATTGGCCATTGCGATGAGTAAGTAAAAAAAAAAAAAATCAAACATTTATCGTTACAATTGAGCGGCCCTAAATGTTGATAGAATTTCTACTCAATTACCTGCAAAGTATAAAAAATTTATTACAAAAAAGATAAGAAAAAGAAATGTATCGCATCCTTTACAGTAAGTAACAACTGCACTGCTTATGTATTTAACGTATTAAGCCTTCATTTTAAAGGGCAGCTTAAAAGACTGCGCTATAATTTTTTTCTGTAAGTTGCGATGACAATAATTACTCTACAATACGTACAATTAAATTTTGGTGTGTACTGAAAGCGGTCCAAACCGGGAGAAATATGCTAATAAACATTCATGTGTGGGCTCTGCGATTTTTGCAATTAAGAAATCGTTTCAATAGAATTTTTTCATTCACTTTTGTATTTAAAGTAAAATTTTTTGCACTGAGTCGTAAAAAGTGTTGTTAAAAATCGATGGGGCAACTTATATGTCGCAAACAAACCCTTATAGATCGGATAAAGAGTTCAGAAAAGTTTAAAACCTGACCGTACAATTAGCAAAAGCACCAACAAAATAATGTATCTGATGCCCAATAAATCGTAGAATAACACTTGTATGGTTAGCATAAGGTATCGGCTAATCTTCATAGGACTCGTCATAACTGATGTCTAAGGCGTGAGATTGATAGGCGCATGATTGGTTCTAGAAAAAGTCAACCCATATATTTTAGAGCAAAAGTTTTTAGCAAAAAGCCGGCCAAGCGGTATGGACAAGCAGGTACCAGCACTACCGACTAAGCACGTGAATTGTTACCGCACGAGCTTTCGCCTTTCGGCGTAAAAGTCAGTTGAAGGCAAAGAGAAAATTGCATGCAGCTAAAAGTTACGTCTTCATCGATCTACGAAAAATGTGAAGATGACTACATCGAAAGCTTGCACAGTAGTAAGCAAACGATCGGGGACAACTTCAAATGGGGTGCAATAATTTGTAGCTTTGCTTCAGCGGACCTTTTTTTACAAATTAAATTTTAATTAACATAATTAAACTAAATAAAATAGTTAAGTTAAACGAATTAATTTTAATAATTAATTTAAATAGACTAATAGATTAACAGATTAAATTATGTTATTAGTTATAATGTGCTAATTTAAATAAATTTAGGTAATTAAATTTAAAAAAAAAAAATGTATTTAAATAAATAAATTAAATTAATTAATTTAGAATAATTACAATGTACTACCTAAAAACAAGTAAAAACACTAGACTATAGCCAATCTTTAAATACCCTACACCACACTAAAGTCATTCATGTAACGGTTTCTTTAAAATAAGGCGTTATATGGGCAGTGGCCGAAACATTTCATTTCATCAAATATTTCAACAATTGTGGTCAAGTATGTTGAACATCTCAAAACAAAGCGAACAGGCGGACGGGCAAGCTAAGATCGATGTAGGATGACTTTCGGCTAAATAATAGGCGTGTCCATCTTAAGCCTTTCTGAGTGCTGCCTATATCAATAGAAATTTGTAGAGCAAGTGGTCTGGGATATGGTAACAAGATAAGTCAAGTCATTTCTGTTGAAGGGTTCCAACACACGAACAATTCTGACATGTAAGTTTTAAAAAAAAACTTGTTTACGGATAATTGGAATGGATTTAAATAGAATTTGGATAAGATAGAAAATTTTGAGCGGAAAAAATAAGTTTTCGGTTTTTATTTATTCGAGCTAAACCAAACTATTTCTCTCATATATAACACGCTGGATAGATAATTCAAAATATTCTAAATTCGGATATTAACTTTAAATATTAAAACTTCCATTTGCGGAAAGTATATTAATTTTATCAAATATGTATAACGCAAATGAATATGCATCGAAAATGTAAATAAAACGAAATTTGTTAAAGTTCATGCTGCATACTTATCGGCATATATTCTTTTTAAAAACTTGAAGTGAAGTGGAAATCTATTCAAATCGTTAATCGAAAACATCCCAAGATATTATCTTAAGCCAAATTTATGTTTTCCATTTTAGTTCTTTCAATTGAAAAATTAACTTTTAGTATATATGTGGAGTTTCAAGTCACAGCATGGACTTACTTTGTATAGCCACAGGGCAGAGTGACGTTCTTTAGCATATTTTAGTTGAAAATATTTCGTAAGATGTTGGCTTCTGCTTGGTAATTGACGTAAACCAATGCATTAAGTGCGGGGAGTCTGTAACTCTGCAGCTGATATTTAATACTACTTGATGACTTGCAAATAGTGTATTAACACCCATTCCCTCATTTCGGATACTAGGATCTTTATAGGATTGCAAAAGCAAACTTCACATGATTGTCTTGCCAGATTAATTTATGAGTTTTACATAGACATAAGTTGTGCGTTATCCAAAAAAAAAATAAAAAAATAAATAAATAAAATAAATAAATAAAAGAAATTTATTCCAACTTTGAAAACTCCAAAAATTGATTGAAAAATTTATGTCAATCACCTATACACGTAAAGCGCGCTATTCTATTTTTTCACTTGGAAAAAAGAAAAAACTCCTTACCCCGTCTACAAAAGAATATTTAGAATCGTTTGATGTAACCCTTCTTCTTCTTACAAATAATTCAATAATTAATATTTGTTTGGATGAATTTACATTTAAGTGAAAAACTTATTTCACCATTAATAGGAATAAATTGAATTTGAAGCTTTAAAGGATTTAGAAAATTAAGAGAACCCTTTCAAGCAAAATTTATTATTCTCTGTAATGTAAAAAAAAAAAAAAATATAGTTAACACTATCCTTGCATGTCTTTTCCAGCCTTTGATGACCGTTGGACAATAATTAAATTTACTAGTTGATGGTTTCGCAATACTTTCAGAAGGAAGCGAGTAGGGCGCAATAAAGAGACAGAGCGAGAGCGAGAGACAGCAAGGGAAAATGAAATGAAATGGAAGAAATGGAGGAAAAATAATAAAAAAAAAAAAAAAAATACATACGAGAGCCAATTATGAACGTGTATGTAAGTGCCAACTGTTGACAAAGTTTTAATAGAAAATTTTCTGTTTACTTACGCAACAACGCACGACATTTGCATTGTTGAAAGGAAAAAAAAAAAAAGAAGAAATCGTTACGAGACATTTTAATTAATTTATAACATAATTTAAAAGTAAACAGAATTAAAGCCAAATATTGAAATTCACAGCACTTGCGGTCAAAGGTAGTGCCTTCGATCGTGCGCTTGTGATGAAAAGATATTCCACGCTGTCCCCTTCTGTCTCGAGCAAATGAAAGTGAACTTGAAAAATATTATCAAATTAACAAAATTAAAATAAACAAAACATTTTTTATAAATATAAAAAAAAAAAAAAAATTGTTTTACCATTTAGTTAACCATGTATTAAGAAACGACTTGTAACCGCTAGATTAGTTTCAAATTTTTGTTGTTGTGTTTCCTATCAATGCTCGAAAAGCATTTTTGATTGAATGTTTTATACCTCGGGACACATGTTTTCGCCCATTTTGTTCATATAAATTATGACTAATTAATCTTGCAGAAAAAAAAAAAAAAAAAAAATTTAAATCATTTAACTTAAAAGGTTGATTTCCTTAATTTACATATTTTACCGTTCACTCACACACCATATATGGGGTTTAACGTTTGCTTGCACGTTTCTGCGTTCATGTGCACACACGTACGTACAAAGTCAGACCAGTTAAAATAATTTCCGAAACAAAGTACGGAAATGTTGTTGTTGTTGTTGTTTTTATAATATCTCAAATAAATATACATAAAACAAGAACAAGCCATAAATATGAATATTAAATATATTTTATAGAATGCGGAGAAAACGAAAAAAAAATTACTTTTAGTCGGATCGTGGACACTTATCAATAACGATTGTTTTGCTATTTTATTTATATCGCGCGGATTGTGCGAATTGATTGTCTCAAAACAAACCTATTGTGTGTAACTCTGCTTATTGATGGATTTCATTTATGTGAATTTCTTTCCTCCCCCACCTATCTGTCCGCAATCAGTTATCACCCCTCTGTTGGTCCTTCCACCATTTGCATGGATGCATTAGTTCACCTTTATAACCGCCCCTTTATTCATACATTAATTTGTTCTTTCATCCGTCTACCCAAATATCTGTTTGATCTTTTCATTTCATGGTCTCCCGGTCCGTGCAACTCTGTGTCTGTAGATTTGTTTATTTGGCCCTTTTTCCGAACCTCACGTTTGTCCCACTGCTCACTTTTTTGTTTCGTCTATCCATTCGTTTGGCTACTGGCATCTGTCTTCTCAATCGTTCGCCTATGGGCATTCGTCCGTCTCTGCGTCTCCTTTCAACCATCGTCCATTTAGCTTACCATTTGCTTTTTCGTGCGTGCACTTGACCGTCTATCCGCCTATTTAAGAATCTGCTTATGCATCGAAACCCGCTTATATGTTGCAAACGTACCTAACAAACTTATTATATCGCCATACCCTAACAGGTAAGCATTAAAGCATGGTTATTGCGCACCTGTGCTTATTTTCGAAAAATTTTTTATATAAATTATACACGCGCGTGCTTGTCTTCTGTGGGTGATATAAATAACTGATCGTAATAAGTGTTTGAGCAAAGATTCGTCTTAATTAGTTATAAGCAGATGTTTTTGTGTAAGCGAAAGAAAGTGTAAAATGTGTTTTATTATGAGAGCTGTGAGTCACAATGCGGCAATAAGCTTTGATATGATATCTTGAGTATCTTTCAATCTTGGAAAGGGAGCAAGCAAGATGCTTTCGACCGACGATTTTTCTTTTCTTTTTTTCATGTTGTACTGTAACGTCTAAATTTGAATTTATTGTTATTTTATTTCAAATAAAAGTTTGTATATTGTGGTTATTAACCCTCTCCCTCTCTCTCTCTCTCTCTCTCTGACTAAGCAGAACATTAGAACTGTGGTCGATGTGAATGAGAGTTTGAATGTCATGTTTATCTTTGGTATCTTTACGATTCATTTGTGAGATGCGTAAATGCATGCAGAATGTTCGTAAGGAGTAGATAGAGTTTTTATATGTCATTCATTTTACAAAGGATAACATTACCATTCGCAAAACTTGTAATATCTTTATGCAATTAATTGTGACCGCAGGAAAAACTCGCAAGTGCCTTAGTAAACATTCTTGATTGGTTGATATTATTAGCCAAAATCCAGTGATTAATGCTATCGTCTAGGATCTTTTAATTTCTTAGTCATTGCTTTCTATTAAAGGCTAAACGTATTGAGGCGAAATCGCGTTTCACTCGAATATGGCATTCGCACTACGCCAAGTGAATACGATAGTATACGAAGATCGTTAACTGACAAGTACCATTTATGCATTGAACACCTCGTAGAGTCACGTCGAGTCTGCCTAATCTAAGTTGATTGGCTTCAGTCCGGTTCCTGCATCCCTGCGTTACTTCCTACAGCTTTTTCTGCACTCTCTCACTCCTTTGTCCTATCGCTTGCTTTTGTTCGTCTTCTCATATGAACTAAAGGCTGTCGATCCTTTTCTTCTTGTGTCCCTCGGGCTTTTATCTTACCATACATTTGTCATTCTATCTTTCGAATTATGTGTACCTTATTGCCCCTCCTTCAGGACTAATGTCCGCTTTTTATTTGAAATAACAGCCAATCATAGCACGTTTCTTACATCGCGGGAACGATTCAAGACGGGTTCTAGATGGAAATGTGGGGAAGGAGCAAGTTATGTTTTGCTTACATTGAAATTAAAGACGAAAGTATATGGAAGCGCTGCAATGGTCTCAACGGTTAAATTGTTGACGGCTACCAGCGCAATTAAAGAACAATCAAGTAATCTTGTCCATGTGCTGGCCTGTCTTTCATGCATTTATATCACCAATAATTCTCGTACCCATCAGTTTAATCGAATCTCTGTCTTTTCGACTCGTTTTTCTCTTAAATCCTCCTTTTCGATCTAATCTTCCATTCATATACCCTTTCATTCGCCTTTTCCTCTGCCCGTCTATGTCTTCCTCTGTGCACTACGCGCTCTTCTTGTACATCTGTCCGTATCTTCTTTCTTCGTCCGCCCGTCCGTCCTTGCGTAAGCTGTATGTGCCGGTATGTTATTGAAATTCATTTAACTTAAGTCAATACAATTTAATTCTATAGATGAAATTGAGTTATAAATCTGTCTATATTAGCTGGGAAACTAAAAAATGTTTAAAAGTATTTTTCTTCCTTACTATAATATAATAAAAAATGCTACGTAGATGAAATGATTCAAAACTTGATTAAAATAAATTCGCTGATGTCAGAGTAAATTCATATGGATTTTTGTTAAGGATAACCGATTTATTTAATAAATATCCGAAAAGATTCGGTCTAAGAGTTTTGACTTGAGTTGTTTTCTTAACGGCTTTAAAATACGTACATGTTCAAGGCTTAACAATTACTTTAAACCACTCATGGTCGTCGTAGATGTCGGTGATAAAATGTCAATACAATTTAAATTATTTCCAATATATGTGAAGTATGTGTGAAAATTGTAATTCCAACTGTCACCGAGTACTTATATCCAAAGATCTATGCACACGCATTCACACCATCAATATATGTACGCACATGCAAGCTGTTTTCGAATGGCTAAAGTTACGTATAAATAACATTAAAAGCGACGCTTGTATGAAATATGTGCGCACGTATGTCGATATACGTTCGTATGTGGTGTGGGCGAAACCGCAATTGTTTTCTACGATAAGTGTTTACATACACATGTATATATATATATATATATATATATACATAATAATGGGGCAATGTGAAAATGTATAAGTGTGTATGCTTGAGTGTGTGAGTGTGTGTGTAAAAAATCAACATAATTTTCGGTGTCCTTTACAAGGGTAAAATAAAGAAATTTACACATTTTCAATAAACGTTTAAATAGACGCTTTGTGTTATCGAATTGTTTGTCTCTAGGGTTTATTACCCACTAAGTGTATTGTGTGCGAATCGATAGGAGAAGGAAATAAAACAAATGCCATTTCGAATATTTTGTTCATCTCAAGGTGAATCGTGGACACTTACCATCTAAAAAATATTATAAAAGCCGATCACATTTGCTTATCTTCTTATTGGCAGATCACTTTAA